GGTAAAGTGCCTTCCCAGCAAGTGCAAGGTCCTGAGTTCAAACCTCAGTACTAAATAAATAAATAAAAGCTGTCAGGTGCTGGGCTTGGTGGCTCATACCTGTGATCTCAGGTACTCTGGAGATAGAGATGGGGGGACAAAGTTTCAAGTCCAGCCCAAGCAAAAAAAAAAAAAAGTTGGCAAGACCCTATCTCAAAGAATGAGCAAGGCATGCTGGCTCACATCTGTAATGCCAGCTATGAAGAAGGTGAAGGTAGAAGGATAGTGGTCTGAGGCTAGCCAAGGCAAAAAACATGTGACCTTATCTGAAAAATAACTAAAGCATAAAGGGATGGATCACGGCTACATAGCAAGACCATGTCTCAAAAAATAAAAGCAAGGACTGGTGGAGTGGCTCAAATGGTAAGAGTAGGCCCTGAGTTCAAACAGCACTGCCAAAAAATGAAGAAGAAGAAGAAGGAGGAGGAGGAGGAGGAGGAGGAGGAGGAGGAGGAGGAGAAAGAAGAAGCAAAAGGGCTGGCAGAATGGCTCAAGTGGTAAAGTACCTGGCTAGCAAGCGTAAGGTCCTGAGTTCAAACCCCAGCATTGACAAAAAAAAAAAAAGGTTGAATTTATTGCCGGGCACCGGTGGCTCATGCCTGTAATCCTAGCTACTCAGGAGGCAGAGATCAGGAGGATCGCGGTTTGAAGCCAGCCAGGGCAAATAGTTCATGACACCCTATCTCGAAAAAAACCCATCACAAAAATAGGGCTGGAGGAGTGGCTTGAGGTGTATGCCCTGAGTTCAAGCCCCAGTACCACAAAAAAAAAAAAAAAGCAAAAATGGTCAAGTAGGGAGTGACTAAAGTTGCCACATATTCATGTACCTTAGGGAGACTTTTAGAGCTGTCCTTATCTAGGTATGCCTTCTTGTTCTGGGACAAACCACGTTTTATGCTTTTAATTGCAGAAAGAAGGAAATTTCAAGTTATCAAGTAGATAGAAACTGGGCAACAGGATTCATATACCTTTTATTCCCTATAAAATGCAATGTCCCTAAATGTGCAATTATAACTCTCTGCTTTCAGATTCCTGCACAAAGATGGGTGACTTCAAGAGTCTGAATCTCTCCGGGCACCAGTGGCCCATGCCTGTAATCCTAGCTTCTCAGAAGGCAGAGATCAGGAGGATTGCAGTTCGAAGCCAGCCCAGGCAAATAGTTTGTGAGACACTGTCTTGAAAAAACATCACAAGAAAGGGCCGGTGGAGTGGTTCAAGGTGTAAGCCCTGAGTTCAAACCCCAGTACTGCAAAAAAAAAAAAAAAAACCAAAAAGGGTCTGAATCAACATCAATTCCTGGAGACCCAAAACACTACTTTGGGCCACCAATCAAAAAGAGACTTATAGAGGTCAAGTAATCAATGAAGTATGGCTCAAATCTGTCCCATAGTGGGTCCAGTTGGGTCCCAAACTCACCTTGTGGTCTTTCCCCTGTTCTGAAATGCACAATTGGAATATATGAAGTCAATAACTGGCAGAGTCTGCACACTGGCTCCTAGTCTGTAGAATGCTGGCTATTATGATATGAAAGGCCAAGAGGAAGTTACTAGAACTGCCTTTACCTATCAAAATATTAAACCAAAGCAATGCCACATGCCTGGAGAGACTGCAGAGATTATTGCCACCATCAAGCACTTTACGCTTGCACGCATGGTAATTCCGGTCACATCCTTATTCAACTGGTGTGTGTGACCTGTGCATAACACTGAAGAACAACAGTGGATTATCATAAACTTAACCGGGTGGTGACTCCAACTGCAGCTGCTGTTCCAGATGTGACATTTTGTTGAATAAAATCAGTATATTCTCTGGCACCAGGTGTACAGCTATTGATCTAGTGAATGCTTTTTCTTTCTGTTAGTAATGACCTTCAGAAACAGCATACTTTCACTTATCAATGCCAGCCATACATCGTCACCATCTCGCCTCAGAGCTAATCAACTCCCCAAAGTCTCAAGGACTTTGATCACCTTTCTGTGTGGTTTGGGGCATGTCAATTCATCTCTGCCAAGTGATAAAGTTGCTAATTGAAGGAGCCAGTTGTATCTAGCTTCTCCTGCTCCCAAGAAAGTGGCACAATGCTTATTTGGCATGAATACATATTTATTTATAGTTGTGTTTTTCTTTTTTTCCCTTCTTATTCTCTTGCTATTGAACATAAGATGTGTTATTAGTTATTATCTTACATCTTGCATTTTATGTTTTAGGCTATAAAAGGAGGAGTGTGATTCAACTAAAATGGACATCAACCAAAGATGGATAAAAGGGTTTTATATCCTCTTTTGGAAAGGTTAGCATGTTTACAACTGTATAAGGGATAGCTGCATCATGTTAGGTAGACGGTTTCACTACTGAGCCTTTATCTGGAAATTAAATATGATTTTAAGAGGCATGCACTGATGCCAAGTTGACAAGGGATGGACTGGTGCTTTTTTACTGCCAGTGTAGCTAAGAAGAACTATATTTCCCAGAATTCCTTTCTCTATATGGTTTTAGTGTGTAGCATTGGGAAAGCAGAAGTGAAACGGCAGCCCTTGAACTATGAAGGTCACCTTGTTGACATGTGGTAGGAACTACATGAGCAGTTTCTTCAGCTGAAGAAATCCATCTTTGGATGATGTCCATTTTATTTGAATCACACTCCTCCTTCAACTTCGTTGAGTCCTGGGCCAGGTGCACTAGTTTCACCAAGGTAAAGAGCACAAATTGCTTCAGCAGAAAAATTTGCTGCTGGGGGAGGGGACTAGGAATAAAAGTAATTACTATATACCGGGAATCACTTAAAAAATAAAACTTCAGTGACTTCCTCTGTCTACATAAGATCAAATTCCTTAGCCTGGTGTGTTTGTTGGACCCTGGACTATTGGGTGAATTGTGCACTTTTTACCTTCATCTGCCACCAATTGTTTTCCTACACTCTATTCCTGAATTCTTTATGGGATTTTTGCCAAGCAGGAAGGATGGGGTTCCATGGGGGAGGGAGAGGGCGGGGACAGGATTTGCAGGATACTGCTCTGATGCTATGATCTCAAAGCTTTTCTTTGCCAATGGGCAACACATGCTAGTAAATTAACACCATCCTTTTTCAAGCCAGCCCCCTCCATACACATTTCCTAAATGTCCAAATCCTACCTGTGTGTTAGAACTCAGGTCAGATTGTTGCCACTTATATGGAAGGACTGAGGTCACACACCCATTTAGTGGTAGACCATGGGTGAAAAGCAGACTGCCATACTGAAGAAATGAACCTTTTCAAGAGTTCTTTGAGAGCCTTGATAAGTAAATGAAAATTTGATATGTGCCTCCTTTAAGTATATTGTCTCATTGTTATAACTTTGTATATACCACTGAGCCTTATTTTAAGGACCCTTTACCTGCGTGTATTCTCAGTTACGGTATTTTAGCTGGTAGCTTCCAGAATGGAAGCAAGTTAAATGGGAGAGTTTTAAAATCTTGCCTGAATAATAGCTAATCTTCTCTCAAATGCTGGGGATCCAACTCATGGCCTACCATACCACTAAGCTATTTCGCCAGTACCCTTGTTAAATTTTTATAGTGCATACTTTATACATTTTTAGACATTATCTCATTGAGTTCTCAAAAACTCTACAAAGTAGTTATTACTTCCATCCAGAACCTGCTAGGACTAGTGTAAAATGAAAAATGCCAGGTAAATTTATTAAGAATTTAAAAAATGACACAGCAGAACATCAAACCTAGTGTCGGCCCTAGTGTTATAGTATAAATGTACAGGTAGTGAGCCCATGAGGCCAGCTCTGCCCCCATCTTACATTTAAGAAACAGATTCAGTAAAGATGCACTAATTTCCCCAGGTTACATTATCAAGAACTGGGAAAATGTGAAAAGCAAGCATTCTTTTTTTTTTTTTTTTATACTTTTATTTTTTATTTTTTCCTTTTTCTTTTATTATTCATATGTGCATACAAGGCTTGGGTCATTTCTCCCCCCTGCCCCCATCCCTCCCTTACCACCCACTCCGTCCCCTCCCTCTCCCCCAGCCCTCAATACCCAGCAGAAACTATTTTGCCCTTATTTCTAGTTTTGTTGTAGAAAGAGTATAAGCAATAACAGGAAGGAACAAGGGTTTTTGCTGGTTGAGATAAGGATAGCTATACAGGGCATTGACTCACATTGATTTCCTGTGTGTGGGTGTTACCTTCTAGGTTAATTCTTTTTGATCTAACCTTTTCTCTAGTTCCTGGTCCCCTTTTCCTATTGGCCTCAGTAAAAGCAAGCATTCTAATAGGTTTGGCCCTCTACCCACCTTTTCCTAACTAAACTAGGCCCCATTCTGTTGAACTGAGTCTAATGAAAATTTCCTAAGTGTATTAAGCACATATAATCTGCTGTCAGTCACTTTCACTTTAGAACATATTGTGCCCACAGGTGTTAAGAAGCATTTTATTAAATGTTTTAATGTGTTATGTAGACTATTGTGATGAAGCAAAAAGCTGTCTTGTAGATTTTAAGAGTTCTTGCTGCATATTTTCTATTAAAATATTCTCCTGTAGTCTGGTGGAAAATTCATACATGTCTATGTTTAATGTCAATGGAACCATAATGACAGAGGTTGTGACACAAAATACTGTAGTGATGTCCCTAACCCTAACACCTAAATAATATATCAAGCATTTTTTTAAAGTGATTGCTACGTCGTATTGATAATCACTTTAAATGTAAAGAACTGAGGCCCTAGCATCAAGGAGAGACACCTGAAGGTGAAAAGAACAAAGAGAGCAGGTCGCAAGCCCAAATGTGATACCACTCAAAAACCCGGCCGGGAATGCGCGTCTGCGCAGTAGGAATCCTCCTGCGCCCTCGCGGGGCCGGAAGAGTTGGGGCGGACGGGGGCGGGGATAGGGTTGCTAGGAGAACGCGATGACGTTATGGCCTCCGCACTCCTCTCTACCAATGGGCGACGCGTGCTGCAGTGACGCTCTGAGGGCATCACGCTGACGACGCGCGAAGGGCACGGATCTGAGGGCCCGGAGGACATTCGGCCTCTGTGAGCCGCAGCCTTTCCGAGGGAGCGGTTGTGTGTTCGCCATCTTAGGCAGTGAGTGTGGCCTGGCCTTGGCACGGCTGGGTGCGGGGAACGGAGTCCCTATGGGGCCGCTGCTTTGGCTGTAGGCCGGGTCGGGCACGGCCTCCCTTGGGAAGGCGCTGTGACCTCCTCAAGGGCGCGGAGGCGGGAAGAATGCCCCTGTTGGGTCCGGGGCGCCGGTGACATTGACCGGCTCTTTGCCATTGCGCTAACCCCGGTTTTCTCTTCTTCCCCTAGGAAGATGTTCTCGTCCGTGGCGCACCTGGCGCGGGCGAACCCCTTCAACGCGCCACAGCTGCAGCTCGTGTACGATGGGCCCCGCAGCGGCCCGGCTGGGCCTCCGGGCCCGCCCCGGCGCTCCCGCAACCTGGCAGCCGCCGCGGTGGAAGGTGAGAGCAGACCCAGCCCCGATGCCGGCCGCCCCGCCCGGCAGGCCTGGAGGACAGGGAAGGGCGCGCCCGGTTGCTTGTCCCGGGATGTCAGCCCTTGCCGTCCTGGGCCGGTGTCGGATCCTTGGCCCTTACTCAAGGGCGTGGAACGGCCGAGGCCCAGTGTCACCCCGTGACCTCCACGTCCCCAAGGGATCGAGGCAGAGAGGCCATAACTGACTTCTTGTCTTGTCCCACCATCGGCCTGCTGGGTGGCCGACTTCACTGGGTAAAGTGGTTAGTCAACCTCTGGCTACCCCCAGTTCTAACTGTATTTTCTGTGCTTTGATTTGCATTTAATTTTTTTCTTAAAATTAACTCCTCCCTCATTTTGATGTCTCCTAAGTTTTATATTAGCTGATGTAAGATTTATCATCCTTCCACTTAAAAGTATATGAGATAACGGGGGTCTCTTGTTTTTAATACTGCTGGTGGGGCAGGTGACTTGTGGTTCCAGATGGACTATGGAAGGGAGATAATTAGTGGGCATCCATCCCTTTGGGCTTATTTTGGGGGATTCAAGTTGGTTGGATCCAGCTCTAACTTAATTGTTTGTGTTTTAAATCCCAGTGGAGCATATATTCAGAGAAACCTGAAAACCGAATTGTAGGGGTCGTGAAAATGTTGCCTACATTGTGCCTGTAAAATGGAAAGGCTTTTTTCCCCTCTGTGCTTCTGTTATTTTTAAATGTGGATTAGAAAGTCCTTACTGTCATTTTCTTTGAATGTTTTTCACTGCAGGAATTATGTATATCCTTATAGAAGCTCCTAGGTGGGGATAGTATTTGGTTAGTGGCTGGGATAAACTTTAAGGTTTGCAAGCTTTTTACATGTTGAGTGCTCTTTCTAAATTTGATTTATACTCTGAAGCATGCTCTTATCAGCTGTTTAATTTAATTTAGTTGAAAAAACTATTGCTGTAGAAAATTCTTAAAAATATGGCAAAGTAAGAGTGTCTCACAGAATAATTTAAAATGATCTTATTTTGACAGTGAATTAATTTCCTGTAACTCACACTAGATGGGAAGTCATCTTTCCACTTAATTGTAAATGGTGGTGAAGCTGTTCCTCAGGGAATCATAGTTTTCTTTCATTCCCATGGCCTTCGTCATCTCTGAGGAAATACTTATTTGATTTTTTTTTTTTTCCCAATCAAACAGAGCAGTATAGCTGTGACTATGGATCTGGCAGATTCTTTATCCTTTGTGGACTTGGAGGGATTATTAGCTGTGGCACAACACATACAGCATTGGTTCCTCTAGATCTGGTTAAATGCAGAATGCAGGTTTGTTTTGCATGTTGGACTAAAGCGTATTGTTGAAGCATGGCTGTTACGTGTAAGATGTAGCCATCTACTAACAAGCTGTGTGGAAACCTAACTGTCGAGCAGGTAAGTTGATGACCAGTAACATGAGTTTTATACTAAAATGCATGGTGTGTCTTATCTTATTACAGAGTACAGTTGTGAATATGGCTCCATGAAGTTTTATGCACTGTGTGGCTTTGGTGGGGTCTTAAGTTGTGGGCTGACACATACTGCTGTCGTTCCCCTGGATTTAGTGAAATGCCGTATGCAGGTTTGTATTCAGATGACCACATTAAGTACATTTTTCTTTTCCCTCCTTTTATTTTGGAGTGGGGGGTTGGTGTTGGTGTTTGAACTCGAGGCTTCACACTTCACACTGCGAGGCTTCACACTTCACACTGCGAGGCAGGAGCTCTATCTCTAGTGAGCACTCCACCAGCTGTTTTCTTGTGTTGGATTTTTTTGAGCTAGATTCTTCCTTTTTTGCCCAGGCTGGCTTCAAACTGAAGTCCTCCTGATATCTGCCTCCTGAGTAGCTAGGATTACATATAAAAGTCACTGGTCCCATCTGAGCATTTAATTCTGATCTCTTATTAAAGAGCTTCACAAATGAGAAGAATTTGAAGTTACCACAACTTCTAGAAACTTCAGTAGGAAACCAAACTCAACTTTGTGGTCTTTATTTTAATTACTGTTATAAATTTAAGAAATGCCTCTTTTAACTGTGAGTAGATTATTTACTTTCAGACTCGCTGTAAATGGTGTTCAGTTCTGGCCATAGTTTCTCTTCAATGCCTATTAGGTCTTAATATCCCAAATAGTCATTCCATAACCAGAGTTAACATGTCAGAGTGTGTAATCAGTCTTAGTGTGTTATGTGAAGTAATTTCACGTCCCTCTATATTGATAAAACCGAAGCACAGTATACATGTACATTTCTTAATGCTTTCAGTACCTTCATAAGAAAATTTTGGGGGCAAAACCTCTTGCATATTTATTTACATAAGAAATTATTCTAATTTGAATATCTTTTAATTAGGGTTATTGAAACAAAAATAATCAAACATCAAAAATTTATTTGTCCCAAACAGGATTAGAAGTCTACTTACCTAAAAGAGAAAGGAAGGTGAAATATTAGGAGAGAGGAAGGTGATGTATACCAGCCCTTCTAGTACTGACAGAAATAGTGAGATAAGCTCTCCCCATTAGTTACTAGATATGACATATACCTATGTCTTTGCTAAAACTTGCTTTGCATGTCTCTTGAAGTAAATTTAGTTTTAAGTCAAAAGACAGGTTTTCATTGCATTGATGTAGCTTTTAAAAATTATATTTAATTAGATTGTCTAATGTTTGTAAAACTTTATAGTATAATCTACTTAATGGACTCATATCAGGAATATAGACTATCCATGATTTAGATGGTAGTTTAAAACTAGTTTTTTAAAAGTAGTAGGAGTTATGAATCAATTTTGTGTTGAATTTTTTTCTTGGAATTTTACTTGTTTACCTCTCCTAGATTTAAGTGTGACTCAAAGCTAAACCTTAATGTACAAAATGTTTCCATTTATAAAAGTAATTGTAGATATATGCCAAGAAACTTTTGTCTACTTACTAAAAATTATTTTAGAAACAAAAGGAAAAAATAATGAAATATTTGTTAATAGTGTTAGGTCTTTGCATTTTGTTTATTGTTTTCTTTTTTTTAAACAAAGGTGGACCCCCAAAAGTATAAGGGCATATTTAATGGATTCTCAGTTACACTTAAAGAGGATGGTGTTCGCGGTTTGGCTAAAGGATGGGCTCCAACTTTCATTGGCTACTCTATGCAAGGACTCTGCAAGTTTGGCTTTTATGAAGTCTTCAAAGTCTTGTATAGCAACATGCTTGGTGAGGTATGTGATTTAACTTTGAAATTGAAAGTACTAAAGTTTAAGACCAAAAAGGATCTCAGCTTTTTGATTTACCTGTTTTACAACTGAAGAAATGGTCCCAGAAAGAGAAAGTAGGCAGGCCTCAAATCAAAAGGCTGTTTTAGCAGATTGGATGAGAAAGTGTATATATAGATTTTTATTTTTATTTATTCATTTTTTTGGTGGAATTGGGGTTTGAAACTCAGAGCTTCACATTTGCAAAATAGGCACTTGTACCACTTGAGCCCACATCTCCAGTCTATTTTTCTTTTTGTGGGGGGCGGGAAATGGGATGGAGTGGGAGATGGGGTCTTGTGAACTATTCACTCAGTTGGCTTTGAACTTCGATGCTCCCTTTCTCAGCCTCCCAAGCAGTTAGTATTACAAGCACAAGCCACTGGTGCTCAGCATTTTATAGAATTTCAGTGTCCTTTTTACTATACTGTGTTGCTTTTGTGGGTGTGGGTGTGTGGGTGTGTGTGTGATGTTAAGGCTTGAACTTGGGGCAAGCACTCCACCACTTGAGCCATACCCGCCATACCCTCAGTGGGATTTTGAAGTTTTAAACACAAATCACTTTGTGTAGTTTCAGCGCTAGCTGTACTTGGCACCTAGATATTCAAAAAATGTTCATAATTGTGTTACAGTTAAGTACTTGGTCTGTGAGATTATGAGAGAATGTCTGAAGTTTGCTGAAGTTTAGTTGTCTCCTGGAACTACCAAAGTTAAATTGAAACAGCTAATGCAGCAGCAGTTCACAGCCCTCCTTATATTTTGCTCTTTAGGAAAATGCCTACCTCTGGCGCACATCGCTATATTTGGCTGCTTCTGCTAGTGCTGAATTCTTTGCTGACATTGCCCTGGCTCCTATGGAAGCTGCTAAAGTTCGAATTCAAACCCAGCCTGGTTATGCAAACACTTTGAGGGATGCAGCTCCCAAAATGTATAAGGAAGAAGGCTTAAAAGCGTAAGTAAATATTTCCTAAAAAATATTCATTTAGGAGGGAGAGTTCCATTTCTTACCATATGTGTTCATGTCTGTTTACCTGTATCTGGAATCTAAAATTGTAGGGGCAAAGAGAAGTTAACATGTAGTTTGAGCCCTGAATTTTCCTAAAATAAGATCCCTTTCTTTGTCAGCCTGCAAGTGAATTGATAATTGGCTTGAGCGTTTACTATTAACTTTTGGTGAGGGCTTGTTAGAATTCTTAGTAATCTATTCATAGTTAGGAATTTGCATGTAATCAGGCCACAACATGCTTCCTTAGATCCACCTTTGTGGATGAATCTTGAACTGAGTTCTACTTGTGAACTTCTTGTTTCTTGTAGTTCCAGTCAAAGAAACATCCAGCAACTTTTTTGGTTGTATAGTCAAAGGTGCTTGAGTCATTGGCATGTGAGATAAATACACCTGCATGTTAGTCTAAGGTTCTGATAGAAATGATATGCAGTTACGCTGTTATTTCTTACTATCAGGACTTGACTGGCGTGCGGACATTTCTGTTATTGATGAAAATCTCCATTAGATAAATATATACAACTGTGTGATTAAGTCTCCTGTTTTTCCTAGATTCTACAAAGGAGTTGCTCCTCTGTGGATGAGACAGATACCATACACCATGATGAAGTTTGCCTGCTTTGAACGTACTGTTGAAGCATTGTACAAGTTTGTGGTTCCAAAGCCCCGAAGTGAATGTTCAAAGGCAGAGCAGCTGGTTGTAACATTTGTGGCAGGTTACATAGGTATGAATTACTTAGAACATGCTTCTTCCAAATTATACACAAATAATTATTTCCATTTTCAGCTTCTTTCTGTGAGGAAGATATTGCAAAGGTTATAAAGCTGTTTTATCTTCCCATAACATTTTATATGTCCTTTTGGATTCTTAAATAACTTTCTGATTAGTTTCTAAAAGGATTGTTTTACAGTTTGTATGATTGGTTTATGGTATGTCATTATTAAGTTTGGGTATGAATCTCATTGCTACACTTTTTTTTTTAGTTTGTCAAGAACAAAATTTTAATAGTGCCAGGCACAGGTGGCTCATGCCTGTAATCCTAGCTACTCAGGAGGCAGAAATCAGTAAGATTGCTGTTCGAAGCCAGCCGAGGCAAATAGTTCAGATGACCCTGTCTCAAAAACAATCCATCATAGAAAAGGGCTAGTTGGAGTGTCTCAAGGTATAGGCCCTGAGTTCAAACCCCCGTACCACAAAAAAATTAATAGAAGAGGAAGTACTGACTAAAGCTGTCCAATTTTACATAGGATACATTGCTTTCTACTCTACCAGTCTTAATGAAAAGTGACTATTTTTTCCTCTTTGAGACCTATTCTTACTGTGTTGCCCAGGTTGGCCTCAAACTCCTGGGCTCTCTTGGGCTCAAGCACTCCTACTCCCTCAGCTTCCTCAGTAGCTCTGACCACAGGTATGCACCACTAGGCCTGGCTGATCAGATTTTTAAAAATAATGAAACTAAAGGAAAAGATTAAAGTTTTGACAAAAGGGTTATTAACTATGATGTGAATTTTTTTTTTAACCAACCCTGTGTTGATTGATTTCTCTTGACTTTTTCAGCTGGAGTGTTCTGTGCAATTGTTTCTCATCCTGCTGATTCTGTAGTATCTGTGCTGAACAAAGAGAAAGGTAGCAGTGCCACTCAGGTCCTTCAGAGACTTGGCTTTAAAGGTGAGATGGGCTTTTTTCCATCTAAAGAAAGAACAACACTTGAATGTATTGCATTTTCTCACTCACATTTCCTATTTGAAACAGGTGTGTGGAAGGGACTCTTTGCTCGTATCATCATGATTGGTACTCTGACTGCACTACAGTGGTTCATCTATGACTCTGTGAAGGTTTACTTCAGGCTCCCTCGCCCTCCTCCACCTGAGATGCCAGAGTCTCTGAAGAAGAAGCTTGGGTTAACTCAGTAGATAGATCAAATATGGACTGAATCTGCTTGTTGATCAGTGTTGAAGAAAGTGCAAAAGGAACTTTTATATATTTGACAGTGTAGAAATTGTCTATTCCTGAAATAATCACTGTAGTACCCTTGCTTAAGGCAAGAGTTTCAAACTTACTGTTGAAATAAACCAATCTGTTCATGATTTGTCTGTGAGTTTATAGTTACTTTAAAAAATCAGTTTTAACCCTAACATAGCTGTAATGAATTAAGACCCCAAGGGAAAAAATGGAAACTAACCAATAGTGGTTGACTATTTCAACCCCTTCTCATAAATTGTCCTATGTCCTAAGTTTTCAAAAATTTGATTCATTACATACAAATACTTAGCTGGGTGCTGGTGGCTCACACCAGTAATCCTAGCTATGCTGGAGGCAGAGATAAGGAGGATCGTGATTCGAAGTCAGCCCAGGCAATTAGTTCTCAAGACCCTAACTAGAAAATACCCAAAACAAAAAAGGGCTGGTGGAGTGACTCAAGTGGTAGAGCTCCTGCCAAGTAATTGTGAGGCCCTGAGTATAACCCCAATACAGCCAAAACAAACAAACAAAAATGTATACGTATATATAAATACTTTCAGTTAGTTTGACAAATTTTCAACATCAAGTTTTTGCATCATGTACTATTATTGCTATAGTGTGCTTATTGGTCCTTAATTGTAAAAAGTCACTCAAATGAGGCTAATTCTTAGAATAATGATAAAAACAACTGATAGCTAAAAGCCATTTCAAGTAACCTAATTATCTTCACACAAACCTGACTTTGTAAATGACAGAAAATTCACTGTAAATTATTTTCAGTTTGGATTTTAGGAAAGTAGTGCTTGAAAACTGAACTAGGTGAATGCAGTTGGGAAAGGAGTGTTCTATTATACTTAAGATGCCTGAGATTTGGTTGTAGGTTTTAGGCCAAACTTTTTTTTTTTTTTTTTTACATAAACCACTCAGATCCATCCTCACCTACTTACTCCACCAAAGGAAGATAAGAACAATCATTAATGCCAAACATTTTTAAGTTTATATTGTACTGGAGGAACATTACAATATTTACAAAATTCATCCCCTCCATCATTCTCCTTTATCCCCTCTTCCTTCTTAGAATATTTTCAATAGTTCTTATTTTCCATTTTTCATATATCAGTACATATTTCTACCATATTCAACCTCTAAATGTTTTTTAAAAGATCTTAAAAAGTAGTCCACTCTTTTCAGTTTTCCTTGTTTCACTCGTAAATACAAAAGCCCAATCAATAATCACCTGCTTTTCAAATCAGATTACATATTGCCTTGAGACCATTGGGTATAGTATCTAGGTGGGGTTGACAATCAGGTAAGAAATGTTTAAGGATTCTAACCAGGGAGATCCATATCCTAACAGTGAACTAGGTGTATCTAGTTGCAAGTTAATATCTTTGTGTCACATTTTACCTGTGCTAAAGAGAGGAAGGGTTGTAGGTGCAAAATGGAACTAAACATGGAGTGGGGGGGTCTTTTGAGTCCAACCAAGTGTGGCTGTGGTACTTGGCAACATTGGCAGTGTATATAGTTACTGCTGTGTAACAAGCACCTGAGGTTTAATGGCATATAATCTCAAGATTTCTATGGGACTCAGGAGCATATGTTGAACTTCTATCTCTGGTTCTTGTGACAGTCAAGCTTTTCACTATCTGGCCTTGAAAAGTGCCCTTTGAACATCTCGTTGTACAAATTCTGCATCATGTCAGCCTTAGGGCAGCTGGACTTGGATGGATTTCAGGGTTCTTGAATGGAAGGAGGCAGAGCTGACTTTTAGGATTTGACCTTTGTCAAAGTCATCTAGCAAAACTTCCACCATACTCTTAATTACAACAGTAACAAATCTCAAGAGACCAAATCTCATATTCAGGGTAAAGAAGAGCATCCATTTCTTGCTGGAAGGGATGTCAGTCACAATATAAGAAGAGCAAAGGGGATTGGAACTACATTGGTGTGTCCAACCCAAAAGTCGACTGGATCTAAAAACTATTCAGGGAATGTACTTCACTGCCAAACTTGCAGCATTCTAGCTTGTTTTCAAGAAACATTTAAAAAAAAAAGAACATTTTATTTGTGGGTGTTGATACAAAGTATGCTGTGTTCAAACTGGAGATTTGCTTTGTGCTGTTGAGGTATATTTCAAAGCCATATTATCCTCAAAATCCAAATAAAATGCCCACTTAATTTGGTAAATTTGGGGGAGTGGCTCAAGTAGTAGCCTGCCTAGCAAGCCTGAGGCCCTGAGTTCAAACTCCAGTACCACCAAAAAACAAAATTTAGGTGAATTCAGTCAGGCATGGTGGTTTGCATCTGTAACTGTGATCCCAGCACTTGAGAGGCTAAGGGCAACCTGGACTACATGCAGAGTGTCTCAAAAAAAAAAATTTAAGGAATTTCCATTGATTTCAGATTTTTAAATTTACTAATACTAAAAAATTCTAAGGGAATTTTAATATACATATTGGGAGCTGGCCCTGGTGGTCATGCACACAATTCTAGTTTCTCAGGAGGCAGAAATCGGGATGATCTTGGTTCAAAGCCAGCCCAAGCAAATACTTCAGGAGACCCTATCTTGAAAAAAACCCATCACAAAAATGGGTTGGTGGAGTGGCTCAGGGTGTAGGCCCCGAGTTCAAACCCCAGTACTGCCAAGGGGGGAAAAAAAAACAAACATATTGGGGTGTTTGTGTGTGTTTAAGCAGTTAATAAAATAATGTCAATTCCATAAAGTAGAACCCAGGAGAATAAGAGTTTGTGAGATTGGTAGTTTCATTGAATTATACTGTAATTCAAGGAAAAGATAGTATTGCATAGTAATTTCCAGAGGGATTGCAGATGATTCAAATTGTCTTTCAGAGCAATTAAAACCCCAAGAAAGCCTGATTTTGCTGATGTCTATGTGACAAGTGCAATAAAATAGTCAAAAAAGAAGTCAACAAACTATGCTGAGTGAAAACTTTATGAAATGGTTTCACCATGTTTTAAAGTGAGTTATTAACACCTCTCTGATAACTGTTTTTGGGATAGAGAGGTGTTCACAATATTTCTACAATAGTACTGTGGTGTGGTGCATGATATTTTTAAAAAATTTCTCATGTATTAGTGTATAGTAATTGAAGGGGTTTCATTGTGATATTTCCATATGTAGATACAATGTACTTTTATCCAATTCACCCCCTCTTTCTTATCCCCCTTTAAATAATTTAACATGTTTCATTCTATTTGCATATATGCATATGGAGTACTTGGATCATATTCATCCTCTCTTTGCCTTCCCCCCTCCCATTGGTTCCACCTTTATAAATGGTCCCCCATTGTACATTCATGTTACTCACTTTTATTTAGGTCTAGATTCTCCATGAGAGTCAACATGCAATATTTGTCTTAATCTGGTTTATTTCACTTAATGATTTCAAGTTCCATCCATTTTCCTGCAAATATCTGGATGACTGATGTACTGGTTAGACTGGAGTATTGAAGTCTCCCACTATTATTGTTTTGAAATTTTATCTGTGCTTGTAAGTCCAGTAGTGGGTTTTGTTTTATGATTTTTTGTGTGTGGGGGGGTGTGGGACTAGGGTTTGAGCTCAGGGCTTTGTGCTTGTAATTAAAAAGCAAGTGCTCTACTGCTTGAGCCACACTTTCAGCCTATTTTGCTCTGGTTATTTTGGACATGGGGGTCTTGTGAAATATTTGCCCCAGCTGGCTTGAACCATGATTCTCTCTCTCCCAAGTAGCTAGGATTACAGGAGTAAGTCACTGTGGATTTTTTTGGTAAATGTGGTTGGATGCATTGAGATTTGGCACATATATGTTTAAGAATTGTTATTCCCTCTGATGTGGATTTTCCCCTTTATTAATATGAAGTGACTTTCATTGTCTCTTCTCAGTAACTTTGGTCTGAAATATGTTTTATCAGATATGAGTATAGCTACTTCTGTCTGCTTTTGGGGTCCATTTGTTTGGAAAATCTTTTTCTGCCCTTTTACTCTAAGCCAATATTTATCTTTATCAGTGAGATCTGTTTCTTTTCTTTCTTTTGTGGTTTTTTTCTTTTTTTGAGATAAGGTCTCCTGAACTATTTTCCCAGGCTGACTTTGCGCTGTGATTCTCCTGATCTCTGCCTCCTGAGTAGCTAGGATTACAGGCATGAGCCACTGGTACCCAGCAAGATCTGTTTCTTATAAGCAACGAATGGTCAGGTCTTGCTTTCCCTCCCCACCCCCATCTTGCCTTTTAATCCAACTTGCCACTCTATGTCTTTTGATTGGAAAATTGAGGTCACTTAATTCAGTGTTAATATTGGAAGGTATGTAGTATTTTCAGTCATTTTGTTGTTTTTTTTTTGATGTTTACTTTTTCCCTATTTGTTGTTAATCTATTTGGCAGGGAGGGTTTATTCTTTCTTGTATTTTCCTGGCTGCTTCTATCTCCTTTCTCTGTGTGTAGGATTCCTTTAAGTATGTTCTACAATGCTAGTTTGTGGTTGTGAATTCCTTTAGTTTTTATTTATTGTGAAAGGTTTTTATTTCTCCTTCAATTTTGAAGGATAGTTTTGCTAGACAGACTAGTTTAGGTTGACAGTTGTTTCCTTTCAGAGCTTGAAATATATCATTCCCCATGCCCTCCTTGCATTTAGAATTTGTTTTGAGAAATCTATTGTTCTGATGGGTTTGCCTTTATATGTGACTTATTACTTCTCTTGCAGCTTTCAACATTTTCTAGATTTTGTGTACTTAGTGTTTTAATTACAATATATCTGAATGTCTGTTTGATGTTCTGAAAATCTCTTATAACTGCATGTCCCTCCCTTTCTCAAGATTGGTTAAGTTTTCTTATGTTATTGAATAAGTTGAATGCCTTTAGTTTGTATCTCTTTTCCTTTTGTACATATGATTCGTAGGTTTTATCTTTTGATAGTGTCCCAGAAATCTTGCATGCTCCCTTCATGATCTCTTAGTATTTTTTCATTGTCTTTGATTGATTAATTCCTCTACTTTATCTTTAATCCCTCATACTTTGTTTTCAAACTACCCCACTCTGTTAGCAAGACTTTCAGTTGAGGTTTTTATTAGGAATATTGAGGTTTTCATTGTAAAGTTTTCAATTTGATTTTTTCCAATATTTCTATATCTTTATTGAATTCATCTTTCATGTCCTGCATTGTCTTATTTTATTCAGCTGTTTGCTTGAAATCTCTTTGACTTCAGTTACTTGTTTGTGTCCTCTTTGAATTCATACAGCTGCTTATATATCTCCTCTGATTTCATTGATCATTCTTGT